GCAGTCATACTTTTCTATGTTCAATGACGGAAATAATAGTCGATGTTTTCGTCGAGCGCTTACAGATGGGTAGCCATAATAGGGATCATTTCTTTAATGTAGGTAGTACGTATCGAAGAGTACTGAAAAGAATTATTTGAAAAAAAAAGTTTAATACTTATTCATTTATTCTAATACTAACTCTGTACCATCAATACATCCACGCGCACACATACGTGACAATATTTCGCGGCACTCTTAACAGGATCGCGCGGCACACTAGTAGACCGCGGCATGGAGATTGAGATTCACTGATCTATAATGTTCACGCAGGGAGCCTACAGGCGCTATTATCACACGAGGAATTCCTAAATAGGGAGATAATGCGTCTAATTCATCGTTCCCCATTACAAGAATCTGTCGTCAGTTTGCCTTGGGTAGAGAGACCTCGTTGTGTGCTTACCCCGGATAATAAAGCTTGAATTGGGCGAGGCTTTGAACTGGGTGATTCAAAAGAGCTTTGGTATCACAAAAAACGTCCTTAGAGCGGTTTCGTCAGGATTTAGACATGCCCCCATACAAGGTGCTATTAATCGAAGACATGAAGGTCGACAGATTACCAGCGATACAATTCAGTTTTCACCATAAAGTTTTAAGTTGAATTAGGCGCGGTGATAGAGCTTTCAAGATATGGAGACATGACTTTGCATGTTGCTACGTAAGGAGCTGCTTGGTCGCTTAGGTAACTGCCTATATGCAATATTCATGTTGGTTGGTTTGACTTTATTTAGTGGCATATCAACCTTTATGGGGTTATTTAATGCTGAAATCTAAATATTTTGAACACGGCTTCAACTAAGTATATTTTAAACGTAATTGTATGTCTTCAGCTATAGATAAAATATATTGATTTTTTATTTTTTTTATTTTTCACTATTTCCCCATCGCTGGGATCCTAACAGGTGCTACCACACCAGGTCAGGGAGAGGACCTGAGAACAACGGCAATTAAGATTGTTTCATAATGTAAGCAAGCATGAAGCTATATTGACGAAGGCATTTAGACATACTTTGCAACTTAATTACGAAAAAAGACAAGAAAGAGATTTGGAAATTTCTTTTTTATTATTACAATATTCTCTATTATTGTTCGGAAGTAGCAAAAATCTAAGAATATTAATGACAGAATAACTAATAATGTCTTTCGAGTATTTGGTTATCATGTAGTGCCTTGATATTCAGGATGCACTCGTTTTCCATGAAGGAAATTAATATTAATATGCATGAAGCATTTGGTAACCAAATAGGAAAGAATATTTACATATTAGGATTCATTTAGTTATCAAAATCAAAATGGGAAATCAATATTAATATTTATACGTTCTTTGTATAGATACAAATATTTAAGTAAATGCTCTGTTTATAATAAACAGTATTAACAACATTTACCGGCCTGAATGTCCGAGAAATTTTCATAGAAAATATGCGTCCTTCGGCAAATGTTGTTCATACTGTTTATTATAAACAGAGAATTTACTTAAATATTTGTATCTATAAAAAAAACAAAACAAACTAAAACCATAAAATGTCATAAAATAGTTGTCGGACTTTGTCCATTTCATAATATTAATATGTAGGAAGCATTTGATTACCATGTAGGAAGCATTTGATTACCATGTAAGAAAAATAATATTAAAATATAGCAATCATTTAGTTACCATCTATGAAATGAATATTAATATGCAGGAAGAACCTGGTTAACATGTAGAAAAATCGATATTAATATGTAGGAAGCATTTGTTTACCATGTAAGAAATGAATATTAATATGTAGGAAGCATTTGGATACCATGTAGAGAATGAATATAATATGCAGGAAGCATTTGTTTTCCATGTAGGAAATTAATATTAACGTGTAGGAAGCATTTAGTTACCACGTAGGAAATGAATATTAATACGTAAGAAACATTTTGGTTACCAGGTAGAAAATATATATAGAAAGCATTTGGCTATCATGTATGAAATGAATATTTGTATATAGGAATTATTTCGTTAACATACAGGAAATGAATATTAATTTGTAGGAAGTATTTGGTTAGCATGTAGGAAATAAATATTAATATACAAGAAGTATTTGGTTAACATGTAGGAAATGAATATAAAAATATATGAAGCATTTGGTTCCCATGTATGAAATGAATATTAATATGCAGGAAGTATTTGGTTAACATGTAGGAAATCAATATTAATATGTAGGAAGCATTTGGCTACCATGTAGGGAATGAATATATTATGTAGGAAGCATTTTTTTATGATGTTGGAAATTAATATGTGGGATGAATTTAGTTACCATGTAGGAAATAAATATTTATTTGTAGGAAGCATTTTGTTACCATGTAGATGAATATAAATATGTAAGAGGCATTCAGCTAGAATGTATAAAACGAATGTGGGATGTTTTCTTCGATTCGCGGGAAATAAATAGGTTTGATGTGCTGAGGATCGAACTCACTGCAGTAACAATCATTTGTGAGTTTCGCTAACCACAGTTCCACGACACCATCTTCCGTTTATTGAGACTTTCTTTCCGTTTTTCTGAGTAAAAACTGATAGACGAACATAGGAGAAACGAAAGAACGTAGAGCTTTCGATGATGAAAAAAAAGGAACAGAAACAGAAACAAGGAAAGAGGTAATGAATGAGAAATAATCGAAAACGAAAGTGAAACTAACAGAAAAAAATATTTTAAAAACAAAAGACAAATGAAATAAAGAAAGACTAAACACTCAAAAAATGAACGGATATATATTAAAAGAATATTCAACAACCTGTAAAACAACGTCTGTAAAATATTCAGTATAAATAGAAAGTGGGGGCAAAGTTTGAAGTAATACAAGATATCAACATAAGACATGGTATACTGTGATTTATAACTTCCATTTTAAGTAGAAAGCCATTGGCAAAAGAGAATTTATAGCAAAAGAAAAATCACACATCCCGTCTCGTCAGCTTTCGTTCGTTGCGTTCATTGATGTTATAAAACGTAGGCCATCAGTCATTTCTAGGACATTACTTGTTACTCGTGGGTCAGCGCACAAACCAAGCATGGAACACTGGCTTCGTTTTAAGATTATGACGAACAAAGGCAATGTTAGCCTTTAAAACAGATTTGAAATCAGAATCTTTTCGTCGGTACAAAAACTTGGTAAAAATGGGGAAAAACAAGAAAAAAGAATTAAATGAATTTTTTTTTACGCTATTAAAGAAACAACGAGTGAAGGAAAAATTTATGTGAAAATTGATTATTTTGAAAAATTCATTCGTATCGTAAAGCCAAAAATATATTATTGAAATGGAAGAGATGAAAAATTCGTAAAAGAAAATATATTTTAAAAGTGGAATGAATTTCTAGACAAGAGAAATAGTTAAAGAAAATTTATTGAATTTTTTTATTTATTCGAGGGGAACAAATTATATAAAGGAATAAGAAGGAAAAATATAAGAAAATGACAAGCAGTTGAAAATCGTAAAAAAGAAAGACAAAAAAATGAAGAAAGAAAAAAGAAAGAAAAGATTGTTAGGGTATATGGAAATAACGACACGAAACAATGTCAAGAAAGAAAGAAAGAAAGAAAGAAAGAAAGAAAGAAAGAAAGAAAATGCTGTCAGGATTTTGAAGGTATACTTTTAAATGCAATCAGTCTATCTTCAGTAAGAAAACTGACGCTACATAATCTACTTATTCCTCTTCGATTTAGCTTGGTTAATATACAAAAAGTTATCTACTTCGTAGCTGAAGTAGTTAAGTATTTCCCAATGTCCAAGAAAAGGTAGGACTTCCAACAAGACAATCAGATACGTTGTCCTCACTTAAAATATTGTAAAAAAAATTTTGAATTTAAAAAGAAAAAATTAAAGAAAATTAAAAATATTAAAAATTTAATTAAAAAACTTTAATTTTTAAATTAAAAATTTAATTTAATAATTAAAGATCTATGCTACGCTAAGCTTATTTAATATCAAGAAAGAACAACGTTATATCATAAAAAGAAGGATATTGACTCTGTAACATCTACTTCTGATATGTTAAAGTAAGCTGGAATAATGATATTTGACCATTCTAACATTACTCCACTTTTATTCTTGTTTTGTTTTTCTATCGCCGCGCGTTTTATTTAACTAAGCATTAAAAGTACTGAAATTATTTCACTATGCAAAGAAGATCTGGGAAATTGGCTTTTGCAATTGATATTTTTAGTTTCAGTAAGTATTCTTTATTTCCATGTTTGTTGTTACACTCAAAACATTTCGGTCGTTTCAGGCGGAGATCTGGTTAACCCTAAGTTAAATTTCAAACCTTTATTCAATCGACGGGGGCTGGTTGTTCTCAAATTGATGATGATGTCTACAGATACCTCGTCATTAATTGTCCTTTCATTTTGTTCTTCACCGAACAATGCCCCAAAAGATTAAAGTGTTACATTCTGAATTTGACGGGATACTAATTGTGGGGTCAACTCTAGGCAATGTAATACGGATATACTCACTCGGTGAAAACAGGACGAACAGTAACGGATGAAAGGAGAATTAACCAAAATCAGGCATCCCTAGATATTGGCAGCGGAATGGGAACAATATATTCCTGTAGATTCCATGTATATTATCGGAGACATTTGAAGGTTGTGTGACGTCCCTGAACACAGACTTCGCTCGCTCCTCGCTGCTTCGTTCGGGTGTCGCCGCTCCAAACGTGACGTCCGCCTGTCGCGTCAGTCGTGTTGTCTCGTCCTGTGACGACCAACTGGCTTGGTATCGGTCGCGGCACCCAAATGTGACGTTCTAATTTTTTGGTGATTCGAGTTTTAACACTTCAAGTTGTTTGCTCTTTAAGAAATTGTTTTTTTTTTTTGTTTTTGTTTTTTTTGGGGGGGGTGTCTTCGGGCGAAAGTCGAAAAAAAACTTATTTTGGTGGTCTGGATCTAAGTCGCTCTTCAAAATAATTGTTCTTGGATTGAAGATGAGTCCGGAAATTGCGCGAATCTTGGTCAGCCGATGCGAGGCTTGCTTCAACTGAGCACTGGAGACTCTCTGCTGGAACTGATTTTCGCTCGCTGCGACTTCGCTTATATGGACGCCGACCAAAACCGGGGTGGGTTTGTCGGCGCCAGGGGTTCCTCAATAATTCTAAATACATATCCACTTCTTTTATTTTTGGTTAGGAATTTTCCACTTCTTCCATTTTTGGGAGCCTTCTCTTACTCCCACCTTCTCACCATACTTCAGAGGGGCGTGAACTGCCCTCCCCACTTCTTCGTAGCAACCTCTCATACCCATCCTCTAGGTGGGCGGCGACAGCCGGCGTGTACGATCCCGCGGGCTTTGCTTCAGGAAAAAAAAATATATCTCGCTAAAAAAAAAATTATTTTACCCCGGTCTCATCTGGACATCGTCAGTCAGATTATCGCTAATTATCAGAAAGGGTGGTCTATTTAACACGGCCAGACCGTCGCCTCGAAAATAAACATTTCTAGGTTTCCAGTCACTCTTTGGTGAACATTTCTGATAACATAGTTTTATTATCGCAGCTAAAGATGTCTTGTCAAAAGAAAAACGGTCAGTCGCCACCTCGTGTGCGGCTTTGACACAATTAATTTTTCATATCTATCCAAAGCCCTGTAGTTAACCTGTTTTTGTCAATTATCAAAATAACATTTTCAATTGGATTTTTCTTTGGCTAGTCGGTCTGTGGTTTGCTTAATCAGATGTTTTCCCGCATTAGCGGTTTGTTTATGTATCCCCGATAACACAGCCCGTCGCCAGAACACAACGATTCCTTTATCCACTTAGAATTTTTCTGCCATTGTAATGACAGTTTTTGCCATTTGCTACTTATCAAAATATCCTTTCTCCATTGTCTCTTAGTCGTGGGTGTCCTACTTATCATCCACGTTTGGGTTTCGCCTCTCTTTTCCTTTCTTTCCTTCCTCTCTTTCCTTTCTTTTCTTTTTGCCTTGGTAAATGGTGCCACAGTTGAAAGGCACAATCACTAAATACATGATAACCTATTCGAAACTATTTCATTTTTGGAAATGTTTGATTAGTTTAACAGCTTACGTTTATGAGACGGCGGCGGCGGCGGCGGCGGCGGCGGCGGCGGCAGCGCCTTCTTCTTCTTCTTCTTCTTCTTCTTCTTCTGTTGTTGTTGTTTCAGGAGTTGGACGATTATGGTTCTCTATATCGTCCTATCTCCTTGTCGGTATGACGATAAACTACATCCGGCAGCAAGTTGTAGCATCTGTTAGAGTCCCAGCTACCGGCAAATAATGAACCCCAAAACAAAAATTAACAGCACATATATATAGTAAAATGACTAACAATAAATTATATGATCTACAAATTATATATCTAAAAATCATACCATTACCCTGAAAGCATAAAATTACGTACAAAATATTTAGATTTCGGTATTAAATAACCCATAGGGGTTTATATGCCACCAAACACAATCAACCATATCTTCCTATCATTTGTAGCCCTGAGCAACGTTTGTATTTTTAAAAACCCTCCCCTCCATTCCGCCATCGATTCACAAAATTTCGTCGGGTAGGTGGCTGGCTACCTTCCAGTGTCTTTGTTGCCTTCGATATGCCATGTGAGGGTCAAATTCTCCAAACCTTCTTCCTCATTATGTGCCCAAGGAACTTCAACTGTCACGCATAATAATAAGTGTCCTTTTTATGGATGGAACGTATAAGCAACGAATAAGTGCTACGTTTAAAAGCTAATTTTTGGAAAATATCATCGCAATATTCAAGCGTTTTTTTTAGCATTAATGTAATATTAAACGAGAGTAACCAACAAAATATTTATTTTAAGAAATTGCTTGGGCTTTGGTTGAAAGGATTTCTGCCAGGAACATTACTGTAAAAGAAAAAGAGAATTCTGCTTTCATCCTTCGTTCTGGTAATGTTATAGAACACATATTGGATTGAGAGAAAAAGCCAAAAGAAAGAAAGAAAGAAAAAAATGAAAGATTGAAAAGAGGAAATGATAGAAGGAAAAATAAGCGATAACATATATACAATGATAGAGAATAAAATAAAAAATTAAAGAAAGAAAGAAAGAAAACGAAAATTAACCACATGACTATAAAGAGAAAAAAATGGAAAGGGAGAAACAGAGAAATAGTAATGAAAAGAGAAAAGAGAAAATGGAAGAATGAACTGAAATGAAAGAACAAGCGAAAAGAAAGAAAGAAAGAAAGAAAGAAAGAAAGAAAGAAAGAAAGAAAGAAAGAAAGAAAATAACTAAGCGAGAGAAACGGAATAGAATAAAAACATCCAAATAGAAGAAAAGGAATAAAAAGCCGAATAAATGAACTGAAAGAAAGAAAGAAAGAAAGAAAGAAAGAAAGGAAGAAAGAAAGAAAGAACGCAAATTAGCACAATGACTACAAAAAAAGGAGAAAAGGAAAAAAACAGCCAAATAGTAAGCGAGGGACAAAAGAGAATAAAAAAAAAATATGGTAGTAAAAAAAAGTAGTAAAAGAAAGAAAGAAAGAAAGAAAGAAAGAAAGAAAGAAAGAAAGAAAGAAAAGCTACTTGAGAAAATGTGAAAATAAATAGGGACAACGAGATTAAATCTGAGAAAAAGAAAAGAGGAAAAGAAAAGAATGAAAGCGTATTTGCATCGTCCAGGGACTTCTTTCCTGTCAATTCTAAGCGCAGACCCACTGTTCCATGCGGTTGCCCTTCAAAGTAACTGTAATGGGCGAAGCCATAACGTGTTCCGATCACTTTCACTTTCACTTTCACTATCCCTTGTAACGCAGAGCTTCGTGACTTTACATATCATTTGTCCATTTCATAAAACTTTCTCTCTTCTAGGCGCGCTTTTATGGGCGAAAGAATGAAGGGGACGAACTAGCCCTGACGGTTGTGTTTTCACCAGCTCGGTCATTGTCATTAGGGAACAGCTACACGAAGACGTCGACACGATTCCGTTCACACCTATCTTTCTCTCTTTTCCTCATTATTCCCCTCTTACTCTCTTTTTATTTCAGACTAATCTTTAATAATTTCTCTTTCATTGACTGATACTCATATTTATATCTGTTTGTATAAATTTCTTTCTTTCTTTTGTTCACTTGTTTTTTGGTTTTTTAGTTCAGCCCATTCTTTTTCCTTCTTTTTCCTTCTTTTTTCCCTTTTCTTACTTTATTTCTGTTTTTTTATTTCCTTCAGTTTTTTTCTTTCTCTTTTAGTTCCATGGTTCTTGCTTTATTTCGTTCGTTTTTTTCTTACCTTTTTACTCTTTTTTAATGGCCTTTTGTTCTTTCTTACATTTTTCTTTCTTTCTTTCTTTCTTTTTTTCTTTTATTTACTTATTCTTTATTATTTCAGTCCATTTAGCTTTTTCTTTCCATTTCATTTTCTTACTATTTGCCATTTTTTTCTCTTTTTTACTTCTATTGATCTTTTTTCGTTATTTTTTCCTTCCATTTTTAAAAATCCTATGGCTCTTTCTTTCTTTCTTTTTTCTTTCTTTCTTTTTTTCTTTCTTTCTTTCTTTCACTTTTTCTTTCCATCTTTACTCTTTTAAAGTCCTATGGTTCTTTGTTACATTCTTTCTTTCTTTCTTTTTTCTTTCTTTCCCTTTTTCTTTCCATCTTTACTCTTTTAAAGTCCTATGGTTCTTTGTTACATTCTTTCTTTCTTTCTTTTTTTCTTTCTTTCTTTCTTTCCCTTTTTCTTTCCATCTTTACTCTTTTAAAGTCCTATGGTTCTTTGTTACAGTCTTTCTTTCTTTCTTTCTTTTTTTCTTTCTTTCTTTCCCTTTTTCTTTCCATCTTTACTCTTTTAAAGTCCTATGGTTCTTTGTTACATTCTTTCTTTCTTTCTTTTTTTCTTTCTTTCTTTCTTTCCCTTTTTCTTTCCATCTTTACTCTTTTAAAGTCCTATGGTTCTTTGTTACATTCTTTCTTTCTTTCTTTCTTTCTTTCTTTCTTCTATTCACTTAATCTTTATTATTTCAAATCATTTCTTTTTTCTTTCCATTTCCTGTTTTACTATCTGCCTGTTTTCGTTTCCTTACATATTTCTTTATTTCCTTTTTTTAGCCGTATGGTTCGTTCTTTGTTTCCAGATGAAGATGGTCGAAGTAAATGACAATTCTTTTTCCTCTATCTGGAGTGCTTTTAGTTTTCCACATTTCCGGGCTTTTTTATCGACTTATTTCTCTGTCTTTCGATCTATGGCGCTATCTATTCCAGTTTGCTTCTATCTTTTCGAGGAGTTTGTATCGATCTGTCTATCTACGCTAATCTAGCCCCGTCCTGTGTAAAACCGTAAACTACGTCCAACAGCAAGAGCCTCGGATCAGGAGGTTTTAAGGAGCGGAGAACCACCTCTTAATTGCTGATGTTCCCAGGTCCACCCTGACCCGGTATGGTAACACCTGTTAGGGGTCCCAGCTATGGACAAATAGTTAACCACCAAACTGGGGTCCAAACACTATGAAAGTGTAAATATACGTTTTAATACCAGATATACTTTGTAAAAGAATTATTACTAGCAATACAGTTTTGAAAAAAATATTACCAGCAATACATTTTTTAAAAAAATATATTACCAGCAAAGGAAAAGTATTACCAGAAATTGATTCTTCGAAGGAAAAAATATTACCAACAATGAAAATTTTGTCGACATTAAATAACTCATATTCTGTAAAACAAAAAACCAAACCAAACTAATCAAGTCATACCAATATATTTGATAACTGTCTGTCTGTTTGTCTAATTATTTTTTGACCCTTTCTATGCTCTGGCCCTGCTGGGGTTATCGGAGAAAACGGTTTGCAACACACAGGCGATCAAAATTTGAAGTCCTGATCCAGAACAAGCGTAAATTCCTCAATCCCTGCATCCTTTGATCACTTGGTATGTTGACAAAATCTCAATTTTTCAAAATGCTTGATGAAGAAAAGAGTCCCTGATAAAATCATTCTCTCATATCTACCCGGATATGTAGCAGTGAGAAGATGTTAACTTTCCCGAGGCTTTATAACGAAAATCTATCAGAATCCTTTTATGTCAATTGTTTGTTTTTTTATCAAATTGATCGTCTGCGTACTCATTTCTTTTATTAATTCATTAACTTCATGAGCGCATATCCTGCCTAATAAAAACTCTTGAAACGGCAAAAGAAAACAAAAAAAAAAAACGAAAACCGAGAATCAATAAACTAACAAAGCAATATAAAAAGACAAAAAAGAAATGGTAACATCCATAAAGAGACAGACCAAAAGATAGAAAACCTAATTATTCAATAATCCAAAGTCTAACGCAAATGGACAGAGCAGTAACCCTAACTCACGACACTGTACAAAAGAGATCCAACTCAAATCGCTTTTCTATATATCTTGCAAAGTGATTATCAGGAGGCAAGAATCAAGTTGCGAGAAACTCAGAGTAGCTATTTGAACTGTATCTTTTGGGCGATGTCGTTTATTAGAGAATAAAATATATATATATATATATATATATATATATATATATATATATATATATATATATATATATATATATATATATATATATATATGTGGACATAATATAAGGAACGAAAACAACAAAGACATAAAATGTGTATTACTTAAAAAGTAATGCATGATTACCAATGAAATTTTTACCGAATAAAAGATTAGGGTGTAATGCATAAATATTATACAAAGTTACAAAAATAATCATAAATAAAAAATAATAAGAAAAATACTGGATTTTAAAATTAAATACATATAAACTAGGGTTAAATAAAGACTTGGGTATTTTAAATCTTTATAAATATTTCAATAGTTAAACATTTTTTTAGATATAGTTAAAAAACTTTTTTTTATTTCTTATTTTATTTATTTTTTAATTTTTTTAAACAACAACTAAGATATTATTACAGTTAGATTTACGTTAGGAATATTCGTTCCATATCACGTGACGTCCGCATCTCGCGACGGACGCTACTTGTACACAAACAGTTATTTCTGAAGAAAGATTGAGGCCAATCTGAAATATCAAATATATATATACAAATAAATAAATACTTTCATAAAAGTACATTATTATTTTTTTTTTAATTTGCAACTTTTTTATATATATATATATATATATATATATATATATATATATATATATATATATTTGGTTGGATAGATGTGAGTTTGTGACCCTGGGTTTCACGCTTTAGCGATCGTCAGACAAACTCGAATAAGTACCGCGCATATAATATATAAATAATTATACATATATATATTTATTTATATTTATATACACTTTTCACACACACACACACACACACACACACATATATATATATATATATATATATTATTATCATTATTATTAATATTATTATTAATAGAAATCTTATTAGTATAAGAAACTATACTCGCTCGGAAAAACTTCAGTGTGTTGATTTTTAAATAAACAAGCCAATACCAAAGGGAAAAAAGGTTTAAAAAAGAAAGAACCAAGAACGTGTACGTTAGTCGAAAATAATCGTCTAGCATACGCGTTCAAGGCCCAAAGAAAAAAACTTCGATGCGTGTACCCAAAATAACTAAGTGCTCAATACAATGAGTAGCTGCTCTACTCATTGTATTCCACGACGATCCGCTTAGATAAAACCTTGGTAGTTTTGTCTGCCTCTCTAGGTTTAACTATATATATATATATATATATATATATATATATATATATATATATATATATATATATATATAAAGTATTACAATGGAACATTTAAATTATCGCGACAAAAATGCATATTTGTTTCGATGTTCAAAAGACGTCTCGTTAGGTGGTTAACAATTGATGATGAAAAACGATTTTATTTTAAAATACGATTTATGTAACATCACTTCTTTTTACATCTTTGAAAATTTTCCAGAGACGGCAAAAAAAATATTCATTCCATAAAAGGAAAAGAAAGAAAGAAGCAAATTAAAGTAAAAAAAAAGGTAAGATAATAAGAAATCAATAAAAAGAAAAAGAAAGAAGGAAAAAAAGGAAAGGTATAAGTATTGAGATGTTGAGTGTTTCCGCGTGCGTGTATTGAAATAAGGACAAACACATACGTAGGGAAAAATACTGGTATATCTGAAAAGGTATTTACAACAGAGAGATTAGTAGTCAAACGAACGCAGGTTAATCAGTAACAATCAGAAAGAGTATAAAGCCCAACTGTATCTTCCAGTAAAGAGACGGAAGTGTGATGGTCACCTGATCTTCCCAGAACTCTATAGAACTGTCCTATTAGTAGTAGAGAGATCAGTCCATTCTGATGAGAAGGTGGGTGGCCCCAACAATAAGAAAGCATAAGAAATCAACCCTACTACAAAGAGAATAGAAAGAGAAGAAGAGAAAAATTAGAGGATTATATACAAATTTTACAGATACAAATGAAAAGGAAAGAGAAGAAAATAAGAAATGAAATGTTCATACAATATTTAACCAATGAAGACACGCTAAAATGAAAAATTCATAACAGAACGGATACATAACGTTACAAGATAGAAATATATTACAGATACAATGTCGCAATTTAAACTTTATATTTTGAATGAAATCACATATTCCAACAAAATTCAACATAGTACTTAAATAAAAGACACTTTAAGAAGAAAAGCCATATACAAACAAAACAACTACTTTAATATACCAACATTAAATTATAAATTAGAATACAAATTGAATTTGAAACATTTATATGACTTTTATATATTTATTTTAAATTAAAAGCTAAAATAAATTTTAAACGTTTATATGACTTTTATATAATAAATTTTAAATATTTATATGATTTTTATGTATTTATATTAAATTAAAAACTATTATCAAACAACATGACAAGTAAAATAATTATAAGCCATTTCACGGCTAACAATAATACCAGTAATTTACGAATACTAACCTATTTAACATCTTAATTAAGAATACACCACCAAGGATAATATTAAAATGTTTATATAAAAGTAATATAATATAAGAGGAGTGATTATTGATTTATAAAGTTTATTAAGATTGTAAGGTTAATTCTTTAATATGCCTAAAATTCACGGTAGTTTGATAGCTCTGATTTAATAATTGATCGCTATTCAAGAATTTAATTATCAAAATTTTCTCCTGTAGATTATAGTTTGTTTAAGGATTTTCCATTTAACTTTAGGTGTTTTGTTTTCGTCTTTCAGTTTCCAAAAATGTCTAGAAAGCGAAGTCATATTTCCTTTTTCAGCATAAATAAGAGATGAAATATTATAGTACAAACGCTTTTTAAAGTTATTCATTGTGCTTCCAATATATATTTTAACAATTTTGGAGGTTTCAATTGATGAAATAGAGCACATATACAGAAGGGATTTCGTTAAGCACTTGTTAGATAAAGGACATTGGTCAGAATTTCAACAATTACATAGGTTAATTATACGTGATAAATTAGAATCAGTAATAGTATTACAGTTACTATTGTTATATAATTTCAATGTGTTACTGTTATGTGATTTAATTATTTTCTCTAGATTATTAGTACATCTATAGCTAAGTTTTAGAATATTCTAACTAAAAAATTTACTTAATGAATTACTTTTAGGAAAATGTTTATCAATTAAGTTAAGAAACTTATACTCCAAATTAGCACGAACTAATTGATTGAATGGAGGTGTATACCATATAATCTTCCTGTTTCTGTTTTTCTTTCTGGAACAACCATAATTTTCTACAAACTTAATTTCAGAAGATCTAAACCCACAATCTCTAAGAACTTTATCATAAACTGTTTTTTATGTTTTTCGAATATTTCTTTGTTGGAGGAATATTGGTTAATACGCGTTCAACAGATGATGGAATATGTTGAACTACAGATGGTGGATGATTGGAGTTAAGGTGAATATAAATCGGGCTGGCATTGTTTTTCATGTAAAGCTGAAAGTTATTGAGAACTAAATTTAAAGTTACGTCTAAGAAATCAACTT